TTCTCGGGCCCAGCTTTCTCGGATATCCTTTTAATCCGATGTACAGCATGCCTGGTACATCAAGAGAGGCAAATGGAATGCACAATGCAGCTATCTCTTTTGCTAATCCACACACACATAATCCAGCAGAAAATGAATTTGAGTCCTTAGCAGATCAACAGAGCACAGAAGAAGAGTCTGAGAAACAAGATACAGAAGACGATAGCCTAGATGAAAGCACTTCTGGCAAAAAAAGAAGTGTTGTACAGGCTAGAGGACAAAAGAGAAAAGCTAAGGAAACAGAAACATCTACTTCTCATTCTACAGAAAAGAGCAAAAAAGACAAGAAGGAAAAAACAGCCCAGACAATTAACACACCGGCGGCTAAAAGCGTGAAAGAAAAAACTAAAAATAAATTCGGCAATAAAGTATGGAGTGATAGAAGACTGATGAATAAGAGGAGAAAAGGCTATAAGTCCAAGCATAGAACAATATATAAAATTGGTCCCTACAACAAGCCATATAGCCTAGCTTTAGGAGAAGAGTCTCAGCAAGAAAAAAACATAAAGACTATAGAACACTTCTGCAGGGAAGTTGCTCCAACATTAGAGCAGAATGCGCTGTGGTACTTTATTGCAAGTAGAAGCACGAATATAGGCACAAAGCACAGTGATCTTTTGTGGCTGAAGAAGTTTTTTAAGAACGAAGAAGCCAACGAGTATAAGAAAATGGTGGTGGGTCTTGAAGGGTACTATCCCGGCGTGTTTGACGACATGATCGACTACATAGAAAACCACCAGCCGATAAGAATCAACAAAAACTGCCCTCCAACTGAGTGGGAGGAAACGCTGGGAGATATCTATCTTCGAGAAGGCCTGAAGATAAACGACAGTGTGGTAAAAGATCAGGACAAGATCAGCGAGATAGACGAAAAGTATCGTCCACTGGCATACGCTGTGCACATGATTCTGACACTGCCTGAAGTATACCAAGACTTCTCCAAGATTAGTGCGGAGTTTATAGAAGACACCCAGACCTCTAAAGATCCAGACAGAAACGAGCAAAACCAGCAAATTCTACTATCCCTACACAAACTGGTGGAAATGCATGTTAAAAAAATAGATGATAGTGATGGTACGTATGAAGAGATCTATACCGCCTTTGAAAATATATTTGCAGGAAAAGAACTATCGAAGCTAACAATAGTTGATCTGTACAGAGAGCTACACACAATTGTTGGAAAGTTCTATGAGAACGCAGAAGCAATTGAGAGCGAGTATGTCCTGGCAGGAAAGTGCATAATAACAAACCATAAGTACATGAAATGCGAGATAACAGCAGATATAGCATCGAAAAACATAAACAGAAGAGTTTCAAATTCGAACTATTCGCTGGAAGAAAACAGATGGAACATTTCTCCTGATACAAAGAAACACTATCACATATACTACGTAGACAACACAACACAGCAGCTCAGAATGCTGTGCATGCCCATGCATGTGGATGAGAGCGGCGCTGAACACTATTTACACACAATTAACGACATAGTAGAGTACATAAAAAAAATCTATAAAATAGGGAAAAACAGCGTCATTGTGTACCCGTTTAAAGTGAATAAAAAAAGCAAAAAATGGTCATACATCAAGAAAAACGACAGAAAACAGACAATTAAAGACCTGGCAGGGTGTGAAGTAGTGTTCTACCGCATTACAGACAACCTAATCACAACAAAATTCACATTTGCAGAGTTTCAGCCTTTGGATGCACAGAACAAAGATATTATTCGCATACCGCTGTTCCTTACGCCTCTAATGGTGTCCGCTGTAGATCTAGGCCCTTTTACCAAAAAAGATGAGCACAAGGAAATAGAGTCGATATTCCTTGAGAACAAAGAGCCTGATGTGTACAAGTATAGTAGCAAATATAAACAAAAGCAGTATTCACAAGTACAGAACTACTACGCTAATCTATACATACTTCCAGATGCAATAAAAACTATAGAGTGCTATTCGATGGACTGCAAAGTATCTGTAGAAGAAGATAATACTGTTAAGGCAGAGTGGTATGCAAGAGCACCTGGGGGCATAGATGAGTACACATGCTGTGTACTGGACAAAAGCTTCAAGGAAAAAAGAGATTTTTCAAGTTTCAATGCTTTTATTGAAACACTGGAGTCAAGAGAGTACAATAAGGGCAGCGATCTGCAAGGATTCTGGATAAATGACAATAAAGATGAAGAAAGTGAATCTGAAGAGCCAATGCAGAAGATATGCAACTGGACAGTAAAAAATAACGAATATAGTGAATTTGCAAACTTCTACACAATAAGTGAAATTGAGCTAAAACTAGCCAAGGAAAAGAAAAAGTTTGAGAAAAAAGAAAGCCACCAGAAAGGCTTAGGAAGGAGACACAAAAATGATTCAGCGCTTCTTGTAAAACAAAGAAATAGAGCAACATCTGCAAAATACAAATCAAAAGTCAGAATAGACGACCTGCGCAAAACACTGTGCATAAAATTATCTAAAAAGCCTGGTGTGCAAACAGATTTTATAGTGTTTAGAAATGCAAATGTGAGCAAATCTAATCTGGGAGCGCACAACGAGATCCTTGACCTTTTAGTTTCGTGCTATAACCACAAACCCGTGAATCAATGCAGCTAATAAATAAATAGTACTTGAGATTATAAAAGCATTTTGGAAGATACTTTTGACCACTTTAATAGCTTAGTGGCTTTATTTGGGATAATTTTGTTTTAATTTAATTTCCATCTTCAGAGCTATCATTTTACTGCTCTAGTCGAAGGATGGTAGTGCTTTTTGATCTGCGGAAACAGCTAGAGTATATAGAGATAATCACAAAAATAAAGGATAATAACAGCACACTCTTCTTATTTATAGTTCTGTAGTTATTTTGTACAATATTCTGGGACTATAAGTCTAATAGAAAAAGAATAAAAATTAGTAAAAATTAGCAAAAAGGAGCAGGATTAATAGAAAGAGAATGAGTGATATTGAGTTTATTTAGAGTAAACTTGACATGGGTTTATTTAAAAATAAAGTACTTAACTTTACATTTAGTAGCAAGAATCACCTTAGTAACCATGTGCTACTTAAACCCTTCATGAAGGTAAATTGTTCAGATTTACTTTAGCCATCTATCAAAAGATTTCTTTTTACGAACCTCAGAAACTTTAGATTGAGATGATTCCTCTCCTTCCCCTTCTATTTTTGTTTCTGTTATTTTTACTGAGTGCAGCACATGCGATGATTTTTTCAAATACTCAAAAAAATCACGGGCCATATTTTGATACTCCTCGCCATCTTCTTCTCTGTGGATAATTTCAAAGCTAATAAGCTTTTTTAGCCACAGATTAATACAAGTTCTAATATTGGCAAGCTGTTCTGCACTATTGGCATTTTCTTTGTTTATCACGTATGGTCTAAGTACACACCTATTCCCATGCATCTCCAAAAATTGAGCTTTATTGGGCGTAGGAGGTAGTGTAATTAGAGAGCTGGTGTTTCCATAACGCCTGCATATATACCATATTGGGCATATGTAAAATGCATCAAAATGCATTTCTTTGACTAGCTCCTTATCAGCTTTGCCCTGTTCTTTTGGATTATTATTTAGTATATATAATACCCATCTGAAGTATTCGAAAACACATTGCATTCGAAAGAGTATATTATCTGGAAGATTATTTATCTTACGGAATCCTTGATAATGAACTAATGCCAAAGCATTGAAAATTGGCAAGTCTGAATTAAACCATAGACAACTTAGAGTATCAAGTATTCTATCCTGTTTATATCTTGCTCTTTCTATTTGTATAGTTTTAATTCTTCTTTCTTTATTTTCGATTTCAATTTCAAATATATTTTCTATTATTTTCCCCAAGACAGAAAACACTTTATTCGATTTAAAGTCTAGAAGACTTCCAGCCACCAAGTACTCTATCATTATAGCACTTAAAACCTGCATAAACGTAATATCCTTGTACTTTTCTATCTTTTCTTCATCTGAGATATCAGGGTCTATCAGATCTAAATACATGCTCATTGTTTCTTCATTTATTATGCATGCATGTTTATCCTCATTCAATAGCAACTGAAGCTGTTTATCAGCTGATGCTAATGGAGTGAGGTTATTTTCTGCTACATCCTTTTCTATTGCATCAGTAAATGAATCTATAGTTTCCCACACAATATGATTTAGTATATCAAAACCTATATGGTTTAGTACATTTTTTAGATCATAATATTTCTTAGTCATGTCTAAATTATAGAGATAGTATATTAGTTCAGCAGCCACTACTTTTTTGTTCTTTGCCAGCCTGAACAGTGTTAGCTCGCTCAAGTTACTGTCTTTACTTCTCTTTTTGCTATACTCTTCTAGCACCGCTAGCATATACGAGTCAAATATGTGTATCTGATCGACCAGTAACAGACTAAGCTTATATGCAGGATAAAATAGTAGGTTCAATTTGGCCTCTGTTTTTTTATCTACATGCATAGATTCGAGTTGTTCATACTCACAGCAAGTTGACTTATTGTCTATCCCTTCTTGGAAATCTTGTATCTTATTTTCTATTATGTTTGATATCTGTTCTTCCTTTTCTTCAAATTCTTTCCACATATTTTCTATCATCGTATAAACTTTCTTTCCTTCCTCTATCTTTCTACTCACCGAGCTAGATATATCGTTTTTTTCTTTCAGTTCTTCAGGCTTCAAAATCTCTACATATTTACAAAAACGTCTGCGTATGTCAACTCTTTTTTCTATGCATATTTCCTTCATAAACCAATATTGATGTACTCCATAGATATCATGCCCAACTATATCGCATCTGACTATGTGTAGATATGCCAGCACAACTGCCCATACAGATAGCATTTCTTTTACTTTTTGTTTTAATGTCATAAAAAATAAATTATCTTAGGTTTATATACCATTGTGCAATCAGTATCAAATTTGATATATTTGGTTATATTAAAAATATTCAAATGAATATAACCCAAGAATTTCTGTTGGATTTAAGGTCTGTCCTCGCCAAGTAGCTGATGCCTTCACACCGCAGATAAATGTAGCACATCGGGTGGGTGTACGACATGTCAAAGTGCTCTTTTTAGAAAAGCAGTTGGT